TAATAAAAAATCGCGCGATTTTTAATTAAAAATTTTCATTATTTATGGAAGTATCGATTTTTAGAACATAAAGCGCCGCAGGCGAAAATTTTTAATAAAAAATCGCGCGATTTTTTATTAAAAATTTTCGATATATATATGGAACTATATTAATATATGGTTACTGGGTGTTTTATATAAAATCGCGCTATTTTATATAAAAAAATTTCATATTTTATGAAAGTATATTAAAAAAAAGAAGAAATAAAAAAAGGAAATAATACAGTTTGTAAGTGTATTTAATAGCTTCGAGAAGCTTAGCAAATGGGTCTTCCCGTTTTTTTATAATGGCTTTACGCCATAAAAATTCCACGACTCCTTTTTGTGTTGGCCGCGTTTTAATAAAATCCTTTAATAGTGGCGTATTTACTTTTAAAACGTATGGCAGCACATATTTGCTCTTACTGTCGGCCATTGTTATTCCTGTTTGTTTGTGAAAAGTGGTAAAACGTGAACACTAATTTATAAACGCGTTTTACTTAATTAATTGGTGAATTATATATAATAAAAGCATAAAATACGCATGTGAGCATTGAAAATATAATATGTAACACAAAATATATGTGATAAGTGGCATATTTTAAAAAAATTAGGGGGTGATAGGGGACATTATTTAACAACAAATTGCTAAAATACTATTAGCAATTATATTGTGAGAGTGAACAATTCATGTAGAGGAGGCCTCCCCCAACATCCTCACCAAGTTTCATGACGAAATTCCTTATACTTTCGCTGAAATTTCGATTGGTTCCGTTTTGGAAAGCCCACCCCTCTAATTTCGGTAGCCCTTCGCAGTTCTTTGGAAGTTTGCTGGCTGTAATTGATAAATAATCATAAAGTTAAAAGCAGCGAAAGTGAAAGTTATAAAGCACCTCGAAAACGGGTATAAAATAACGTGGAATAAGTTCAAAAGAGTTTAAGACTGCGTAATCGTAACATCAAGAGCTTCGAGCCATTGACGCTACACACCTTTTGGAATGGTTGGTCAGCAGCTTGTTGGTGGAACTATAACCGCTTAGATGATATAAAAATATTAACGAGTTAGCCATATTTTGCTTAACTCAGTTTATGCTTTAGTTTTTTATTTCATAGTTACAGCCTTTTAATTCGCATAGTGTTAACCACGGCGATTTGAACGTCGATTGCTGTATTTGAGAGGTTGTCGCAATTTAACCCAATTTACGTCATTTGATTGCGCGAGAAGTGAAGGGAAACGCGAACGATCGCGCCACCGTCAACAGTTGGTCTACGCCAGTGCCACTGTCGCTACGGGCCAACGGGCATGAAACTTATCATTGCTATGTTACCATCGTTAAAACATTGGAATTGTTAAGTGTGTTTTTGGTGGGAAACGATATTCGCTCAACGATTTTGTATCTCGATATGGTTTTGGAATTCGCGTAAATACTTGTTTTAGCAACTGGAATTTTGTATATGTATTGGTTTTCAAATATATCTTACTAAAGTTGAACGTGCAAAATACTAAAAAGTGACCGTAATAGTAAAGAAATTCGCTTCATAAAGGAAACTCAAAAGCTGCAACAAAATGGGGCTTTTAATCTCAAAATTATGGAGCATGTTTGGCAATGAAGGTAAGCGGGTTATACTTAGTATTTCATTAGGTTTGTTCGTCGAGCAAAAAATTTGTACGAATTCGTACGAATTATCACGATTTTTGCCCAAATTGCGTTCGTGCAGACCAAAAAATTATCCAACACTCAAAAATTGTGAGAGCAAAGTGACAGTTCTCTTGGAG